AGAGAAGCAATGTTGAGAAAAATAGCTATAGTTTGCAGGAATCAGAGCAAGCTGGTGCAACAGGCAGGCATGTGGCAGATATAATTTAATGCAGAAAATTGTGAGATAATACATCATGATAGCAAGGATGAAGAGAAATGATGCATGTTAAATGGGATACATTTAAAGAAGGCTCAAGGAGATGTGTATTATTTGTGCACACATTTTTGAAGACAGGACAGCCTCAAACAATAGTTATTAAAGTATTTAAGATTTTGGTCTGATAGCTGCCTACAGTGCTATAATCCATTCTGAAATGTACATATAAGAACATGAAAGTTTTCAAGAGGCTGCTGAAAAGACTTTTTGGAATAGTTCTAAGGATGAAGGAACATAGTTACACAAATAATCTCAAGTTGTTTTCCTTAGATCACCAAAACCTAGAAGTTTTTATAGATATGTTTTAATCTTGAAAAACGATTAGATAGAATAATACACAACAAATCATTAGGATCTGAAATCACTGACAACTAGGGGGGTGGACAGAAGTTTAGCAGTGACTTTCAAAGGGAATTTGGATAAATATTTGAAGGAACAGAATTTTTGGGACTATGAAGAAAGAATGGGACTAACTAGATTGCCTTTCGAAAGATCCAGCATGATGTTGTGGACCAGACCAAAGCCCTTCAAAATAAATCAAGGAGATAGCTTAGACCCAAACTTTTATCTTATTTCAAGGCAAATATAAGGTGCTATGTTCCAGATGTGATTTAATTGATCAAACTACTAGACTTCAAGCAAAACACATTTTATTCTTAAACCACAGTTAAAATACAAACAAAAAAGAAAAATTGGCATAACTTTAATGCTATCAAAATACTTAATAAAATCATGTGTATTTTGACTACTACTCATCAACTGTTTTAATATAGCAGCATCCCATAAACATACCCTTGGCAAAGGCAAAATCAGATGTCCCTCACTTGATATCCAAGCAAAGAAACACCGAGAAAACGAATGTAGCAGCAGGGAGAGAACTCCAGCATTTTACAGTGACAAAGAGAGAGCTGTATCGAGCAGCTTCAACTTCAGAACCACCAACTTTAACAAGTGAAAGCAAAATTAAAAGCCTGAGTCTGTGTGAGCTTGACTCCACCCACTCCTTTTTTTTTTCGTCTATTTTAAAAAGAACCCAAAGTTATTTACTGTCTTTCCATGGAGCAAACACCTCTGCACCAGGTTTACAACACTCTTATTCAAGAGAAACAGGACAGAACAAATCCCCCTTAAAGGCACATATCATCACAGTGGAATTAATTGGCCAAATAGACTTTTAGAGTCACAAAATATGACTAAGTTTCTTGGCTTGTGCCAGACAGCTTTGTAGGCTAAGATCATTTTTTAAAATTTGTTATATGTGCTGCCCACAATGTTCCAATTGTTTGAGTTAACAGAGCCAACTCTAAGATGGCTGGCAAAGTTGGCCACTGTTGTCTGCGCATGTGCAAATGGCAACAGTAACACTATTGTGTTGCAACACAGCCTTCAGGCTCCACATCACCCCTGACTGTCATCTGATGCTGATCATCCATCCTCAATGCACACAACATACACACACAAAACTTACTCAATACACACATAAACACACACACTGCACAGCTTGATCATGCTCTTTCTGATCATGCCAGACACTACACCAACCTATTGGTGATGCTGGCAATAAACAAAGTCTTAAACTAAAATCCAAAATCATGCTGTATATGTTCAGACTTTAAAAGATCACAAATTCTGAAAATGATCACAAATATGATTCACATTGAAAAATACAGAGTATAATTGTATTTAAAGTCCTAGAGAAATAACTGGTTCATTTTTGTATCCTGCTGTTAATTTGAATACAGGCATTTTTTATATTGACTCCTGTTTTACAGTGGTTGGAATGTATAGTCAAGCAAATAATTAGGGTGGGAGAAAACTACCTCTATCATTGATATTAATCTGTTCGAGCTTCCATGACTCTCTGCATTTTCAAGCCTGTCTTAGTGCTTGTCCTGTTCTGTTTCCTTTTCTTCTCTCCAAGGGCACCTTAAGCTCTGCATTTCAAAACCATAAAATAAATCAAATGTTCAAAGTGCCAATAATTTTAGTTTTGAAGTATATTTTGTTTCACTCCTATGTCTCAGATTTGCCTCAATTACAGTGACTGTAGGAAGCTGTTTTAATTTAGTAGCAGTAATCCCCCACCACAAAAGTGTCAAATCAATACAAGTTAAGGAGATTAATTATTTAGACCTCACCAGCTTTTAATTAGTTAGCTATTTCTGAGGAATGGATTTGGTTACAATATTGATGTGCAACAATATGGTTACCTCATTGTTAAAAATCCTATTATAGAAAGGGTGGTCTGGTTTAGAGAAATCTGAACATACAGGTTTTTATTATGGGTTCTGTATGCAGCTGTAAGAAATATTGTATATGTTCCTCTTAAGGGATTCTTAAGATATCCGGTGTTCAACTTCAAGCTTTGTAATGTAACTCAGTTAATGGAGATCCAGATACTTGCTTCCTTGATGTTAGAAGATTGAATTAGGTTTCCAAGTTTAAGAAAAGCCTTATGCTAGCAAAGAATATTTTTGCTTGTACAAAATTACAATTTCAAAGTTGTAGTTTTCCATTCAAAAAATGAAGACTCCAACACTGAGTTAGGTTAGTGACCACAATTATGTTTTTTTTTGGAGACGTACTGTTGGAAAAATTAATTGCAATAAAATGGATAGCAACTGTCTCAGCTTTTATTTTCTTAATTTTGTTTTGTTAAAAATATAAAATAAGATACAAACATCAACTAAATAGTGCAGTTATTATGATCATTGACCCCTGAGCTGCTTTTGTGTTATCCTGGTGTTGTTGTGTTCCAACATATCTCTATCTCATTCTCAATCAACATTCACCTGTCATCCTGGTGCTGTCTGTTCGGCAGTATCTTAAATTGAAAAGTCTCATCTTTATGTTAAAATCCCACCACATCTTTGCCTCATTTTTATCTTGTTAACCTCTTCCCACCTTGCTCTGAATTTCTGTCTTCCACCAACTGTGGCTTGTTGCTAATCTATTTCTTTTACCACTCCTTTAGAAGCTAGGCCTCCTGCTGGTTAGGTACTATACTCTGGATTTCTGGCCCTATGCCTCTTCATGATTTTACTTCTGTTCCTTTAATATGATCCTTCCCCATCTGTTTATCAAATTCCATCTGATAATACTCCTGTGAAGCATCTTGAGATTTTCTACATTTAGATTTGGGGAATCTAGTCAGACAAGTATGTACAATAAAGCTTGGAAGAGGTAGCAGCCATTCATTAATCCATTGAAACAGCTACACCCATTGGAAAAATATTATTTCATTTCTAAAACCTAGTTCTCAATTGTTCAATGTTTATTTACACGACATGTGAAGTGCTTGCAGTTTCTGCTATGGGGGTACTTTGACAGTCTGTTTGATGGCTTTTACTACAGGCTTAGAAAAGTGTCAGATTTTTTCATAAAAGTTATCAATAACTTCTTAAAAGTCTTTTCATATATGATGTTATTACTGTAAGATGAATTGGTTCCATACAGTGTATGCTGGGTGAATGGGCAAGGAATGCCTTTGGATGGCCTAGGAAGTAAGAGAAGCTACAGAGTTTGGTGGTATGACATAAGTTGACATGGAAAGGGCATGGAGATTGTGCAGGGCGAGTGGTAGAGGGGTGTTTTCTGTTTTATTGATTCTGTTGCAAGTGGGATGAAATCCAAGAGCATCAGGATGGGCCCTTTGAACAGCCACCATTGCACCCAGCAGCTTCTATGGCTGTCTCCAAACTATTTCTGGCAGCAGTGGGCATGACCCCTGTTCGCACTGCCACCCTAAAATAGAAGTCCTATCTTTTGAGGCACTTCTTCACAGAAAAGGCAGGTCAAACTGGGAAATTTCCCAACTTTTGTTACCTGACTTTAGGATGAAAATCCAGCCCAATGGCCTTGCCATATTAAAATAAAAAGACTTGGTTAGGGAATGGCACAGAGTCCACTCTGGCAAATATAAAGCAGTTTAGGAGTGGAATTGTCTCCTGAGCAATGAATGCACATAAATAAAGAAGGTATTGCAGAGGATTAGATTCCATGAGTTGTACTAGATTCACAAAGTTTTCCTAATAAGTAGCTGAACCATTGAAATCAGGAAGATATGTTTAATACTTTTCTTATGGTGTTTGATCTTATTTGAGATCCTATAAAATCTCTCAAGATCTGATAGTTCCAATGCTGACAACCATCCAAGGATTTCACCTAGGTGTGTCTGTGCAAATATGTTTCTGGGAACATTGAGTGAAGAGAGAATGAGGGCAGCTGTGGTGTGTTTTGCATTCTAATGGTGAACAATACACTTTAACTTCTTCCCCTCCCCTGCCTATCCAATCTTAGGTGCACCTTTCACGCCTCCATATGATAGGCATTCCCTCCCAGTTCATGAATCAAGTATAATTATTAAAATAAAATTAGATTTGTTTCTAACCTTTTTGTGCAGTTCATTAGGCTGTGCAAAATAGTACATTACTCTATTGTTATACCTCCTCGGTGTGAAATTTCCAATGTAATGCTTGAAAATGAGCAGATGTACTATAGTTACTCCTGGCTTTGTGGTCTGTTTTGAAGTGTGGAACGGTGGAGCAAGTCAATATTTTTGCACTTGTTTGTTTTGATAAACATTGCCAATCAAAATCAGAACAGATAAAACTTAGGTTTTACTATCCTCATCTCATGTTAATTGTCTAAATACAGAGTATAAATGCTAATGAATTATAAAACGAAATTTATGGTTATCTGCTGTAGCATATCTATTGTCTATCCTTGTGTCACCATTCATCAATTGGATTTCATTCGTTCATGCTTGTCCTTTTATTATTCTAGAAGAATTCTGAAAAAAATCTTTGGTCACTAGTTTAAGATTGGAGCATACAGTGAAATCTTGCATTTCAACATTTCAGAGACATCAAAGAATATGATCCATTACCTTCCACTTCTCCGTATTGAAATGCTGATACTTCAACTTCCACGTGTGATTTCCCACATTGTGATCTGGAATTTGCGCGACTTTGGTTCTCTAATGTTTGCCCACCGAGTAAAATTTTAAGCAAGTTAGGTTGTGTGTAAATTGAGTCTCAACTGTATTTAAAAATGCTTTAAAGATAGTGCTGTGGAAGCCATCTCATTCTCAAAATTGGCCACGCTGTGGGCAAAATAAGCTCTATGGCTTTCTGTTGATTTCACCTGTTGTGGCCATTCAAAGGGATTCTTCAGATTCTACAGTATCTCAGACACACCAGCACTAGTAGACACAGTTTAAAAGTTGTAAATTCCCAGAGATATTTAAAATACTAAGAAACTGACTAGTGTATATTGGTAAAACTGGTTAATAGTTCATGATAATTTTTAAAAACAATTTTAAATTATTTAAAAACAAGTCACGAGTGGATGGACTAGATATTTATTAAAAATGGTTATTTTTAGATAAAACTATTTTCACATGCATTTATTAACTTGTACCAGGTTTACACTCTTGAATACACCAACGAATATTTTTTATTCAAAATTAATATATAAATGCATTCAATTATATTGCCTGGTCGATATAATTCATAAAAGATTTTATGTTTGTAATTATCCTTGAATGGAAATTTGCTCTGCAACTGTGCTTAAATAAAGCTAAAGTTTCAAGCACAATTTTTATCTTGATTCTTGATTGCATCCACTGTGGAATCTCTAGCCCTAATGTTTTAAGTGACAGTCTTATGTAAATGTGTAAAGGAGCTCAGTGTAGGAAAGCACAGCAGCAATAACCTTCAAAATCAGGCCATTTGATTGCTGTCAACTTTTACATGGTTCTTAACAGCCCAGTTAAAAATCTGGCCCCTGGGCTAGAAAGAGTTAATTTGATTCCCTATTCAAATTAATACCACTTGTCTCTCATGACATTACAAGGAACCTGTACTTATTACAGGAACCTACAGTTCTGACAAGTCCTTGCCACAGGAAACACATTTTAAAAATCATTGTCCTTCTGGTAACATAATTTTCTGGTAAAACTGCCTGTAGCGTTCCTAATTGGAAGCTATGATTTACATCAGAACAATCTAGTTCACAAAGACCAATTTTAGGATATGGCAGCTTGTCTGTTTAAGATACAAAAATTCTTTACAACCATTCATTTTTTTGAAAAATTGTAAGCCAAGGATTGTTTGTTGTGTAATTTGCAAACCTGCCTTCAGTTTGTATTCTCACAGTATGTCTAAATTCTAATGCATTGTAGGTATTTTTAATTAAGCTGTTCAGGGATAATATGACACACCTCTGGAACAAATGGGACTCGAACCCAGGTCTTATGGCCAAGAGGTAGGGACACTGCCACTGCACCATAAGAACCCTCCCACATACAGTTACTTTTACTCAAACTGTTGAGATATGTTATAACACAAGTCAGGGCAGACCGGATTTGAATACAGACCTTTTCATCCAGAAGTAGGGATGTTGCTACTGCTCCAGTAGTCTGCTTCTAATGTAATTATCATTGCCAATAATATTCTTTACTGTATTTCTTTAAGACCAGTTTTTCACCTGTAAAAGACTTCTTTACAGCAGTTGTTTGATGACAAAGGTAAAGGCTTTCTGTACCATGTACAATCTATTTATAATTGTAAAGTGTATCACTATTCTGGTTACAGTGGTTCATTAAATTATTTTTCCATTAAAGTTCTTTCTAAGTGCACAATTGACTTTAGAAAAAATATTGTCAGCAGCACTTGATTCAACTTGCGCTTTACTGTAAAATTAAATTTGAAGAGAGGAAGGCCAAAGTGAAGCAAACTGCAGTCAAGTGCAATGACTCCACTCATGCATGTGCAGGAAAATGTCTTTCTTTGTGCTCGGCAACATTGGCTGTACTTAGCATCTATTAAAAACTGCACATTTTACTGCATCTTTTAAACCAATCATTATCCTGTCACACCAAACAATTATCTCTTAACCCTCATACTCCTTTTCCTCATTGAAACATTGCTGGTGATTATTTGACACAGAAATTAAACCCCAGAATAGAGAATGAAATGAAAATATTTTACTTACATATTGCTTATAATCAAACTTATTTACAAAAATTAGTATGGTTATTTTAGTTCTTCATTTTGATTTTTCTGCTTCTTTCTCCCACTCCAAGTTTTGTAAAGTACGCTGTTCCTAGAAAGGAGGGTACATTGATATTCCTGCCCTTAGTTTTGAAGTAGATTTTTAGCCAGCTGCTAGAAAGCAGGTGAGAGTTCCTCACATCCCGTTCCAATTCTGACATGCCTTTCTTTGGGTGATGTACTTTCCAGAGATTGGCCAGCCAAGATTAGAAACTTCTAAATAGTGCAATCTTTCAAGTAAAAGAACATTACAATATAGGGTTAGGTCCCTGATCCAAAATAAACCAATATTCTAAAACCTACTTTTAAAGACTTCCAATTCAAATGCTGTTAATTCGTTTTTGATTGTTAAATATATTCCTTTTTTATGAGTAGTTACGCCAGCTATTTTGATTATACAATTATTGTAGATAAAATCTGGAGGTAAAATCTGTTGCCAGATATGGTAGTCTAGTAATTTGTGAATTCAAGCCTCAATTCCGTGCTGAGAAATTGAATTTTAAATAATCACGATTTGTAAACCTTAATCAATGAAAAATGCAATAAAAGCTGTCAGATTGTCATAAAAACCCAACTGGTTCATTAATGCCCTTCCAAGGGAAGGGTATCATCCCAACACATCGAAATATAGATGAATGCTATGTCTTCCATAAACGCAGAGCCCTTCACATTGGTTAGCTAAATTAGCTCTGCTTTGCAGTATTATGGAATTTCATAAGAACTGGCCATTTAGTTGGAAACTGGTTATCAGTGCATTGCTTTTTTTGCCTAATGTAGTGTACTGTCAAAAATATTAAATAAAGAGAATACGAAGAAGAACTGACGGTTGGCAAAAATAGAAACAGTAGAAAATGTTATAAAAATAAAATGTGCAAGGTCAGCTAAAAGTAGGATGGGGCTGGCTAGGTATAAACAGAGAAAACTACGTTATGGAGGGTAGAGGTGTGGTGGAAATACTAATTGAGTATTTTTCACAGCAAATTGTTGCAGTGAGACTGAAAGAGCACAAGATTAGTTAGATAGAACAGGATTACTATAGATAAGAAAGTAGTGCTGAAAAACTGGTAGACCTCACAATGAGAAAAGCATGAACCCATGATACTTCCAGATAAAGGAATTCAGAGTGGATCTCTGACTACTATATCATCCCTGGATATGGATCCTTTGCCAGCAGAATGCAGGGTTTCTAATGTAACTTAGCCTTTTCAAAAAGGAGAAAGGAATAAAACAGGTTACCACATGCCCCATTATCTAACAGTTTTTGCTGATAAGCCTCTGGAGCACATGTAAATTGATAAAATTAATACTTATACAAAGTACAGCCAACAAGAATTAGGAAAAGCTAATCGTGTCTGATAAACTCAGTCGAGCGACCTGAAGAAATGGTGAAGTATAATAATTTTGTTTTCTTATTCCTGTATAGAATGTGAGTGTCACTAGCAAGGGCAGCCTTAATTGTAAGTTGTTTATAAACTAAATTGCACACTGCAAAAGGAATTGAAGATTAATACCTACAATATAGAGAAGAGATTAAAACATAACCATTGAGACATAGAATTCATGACCCGAAAACATGAGGAAGCTGAATTTATCATACCTTTTAATAAGTATAGCATAGGGATGGGAGTAGACTATTCAGCCCCTTAAGCCTGTTTCCCCGCTCCCCATTCTGTTTAATCATGTTAATCTAACCTAAACTCCATTTACCACCTTGATATCTTCAGGGAGTAAAAACTTCTCAATTGCAGCAGTAAACATTTGAATCTATCCAACAACAGCAGCAACTTGGCACATTAAAATCCATATTTTCATCATCCTTTGTGAGAAAACAAATTTTGCGTTTCAAATACCCAGCTTCAATCCTTTACAATTTGCCTACCAACTTAACAGGTCCACAGCGGATGCCGTTTCCATAGGCCTGCAACATCTGGACAACAAGGACATCTACATCAGACTCCTGCTCATCAACTACAGCTCCCCCTTTAACACCATTAACCCCTTCAGACTGATCTCAAAATCCGAGACCGATGTCCAGGCTCCACCCTCTGCAATTGGATCCTCAGCTTCCTGACCCACAGACCACGATCAGTGAAGATAGACAACTGTGCCCTATCCACGATAACACTCAACACTGGACCCTCCCAAGAATGCATTCTCAGCTCCCTACTGTACTCCCAATGATGATGTTGCCAAATTCTGAACAAATGCCATCTAACAAGTTTGTTGACAACACCACCGTGTAGGACAGATATCAAACAACAGTCAGTCAGAATACAGAAAGGAGATAGAGGGTTTGGTGACGTGGTGCAATCATGAAAGAAGGGGGGAGAACGCGCCCCCATCTACAGCAACAGTGCTGAAGTTGAGAGGGTGGACAGCATCAAGTTCCTAGAAGTGACAAAAACTGACAACTTGTCCTGGACTTCTCACATGGATGCAGTGGTCAAGAAGGTGCAACAACACCTCTTCTTCCTAAGGCAGCTCAGGAAATTTGGCATGTCCATAACGTCCCACACCAATTTCTACAGATGCATCATTGAAAGTGTACTGTCCGGATGCATAATGGCCTGGTATGGCAACTCCTCTGCCCAGGACCATACAACACTACAGAAGGTTGTTGTGCAAAGCCCAGACCATCACGGAAGCCAACCTTCCACCCATGGACTCCATTTACACAGCACATTGCTGTGGAAAGGGTGCCAACATCATCAAAGACCCATTGCATCCCAGCAATGCTCTCCTACAACCTCTTTTGGTCAAGCAGAAGATGCAGAAGCTTGAACACGCACACAAACCGGTTCAAGAACAGCTTCTTCCATGCCATTTTTAGACTGCTGAATGGACTCTCTAACTTCAAATAGTGTTGATGTTGCTAATGTAGATCTTGCCTAGCGTATGCCCTGTGCAATGGAATTTGTATGGTTCTGTCTAGTTTTTTTGTTCTTCCACACCCTATGGATCTGTATGTCCTTGCTTACTATGATCTGCCTGTACTACTTATAAACAAAGCTTTTCACTGTACTTAAGTACACATAACAATAAATCAATCAAAACTAACAGAATCTTACCAGTTCTTGCAGCATCTGGTTTGATAATAACCATTTCATCATCAAGAAGGTACAAGGTCTATTCAGTGGTAGGAGAGTTCCATTCACGGTTGTCAGCTTCTTATAGAGGATGCACCCGAAAGGAACATTATGATGTTATCCTTTTGTTACTAGGGACAAACACTGAGGTAAATATATTAGACACACACACTCAATAATTTCTAATGTC